TAAACATACCCTGAAGACCTGGAGCGAAGCTACGCAGCTTGCGCGTCGCAACCGCCGACGCGACACATACTCTCAGGTCCGTAGAACGGTAAAGACAAATCTCGTGCGAAGGGTGTTTGGACATTGGAGGGACAAAGCAAGCCATATCGTAGGACTGAACCAAAGAGCGAATGATATGCTGGAGAACCGCACCATACAAGCCAGTGCAGAAATCATTCATCGATGGCACGACCGGACGCTTATCCTTCGCCAACAAGATGCTCAGGCCACCAATCTACATGCCTTCAGGATTACCTCTGCTTGTTTGGCCACATGGTCGCAACGCATGGATGACATTCGCATGCTAGAAGGTCAAGCCATTGCTCTTCGACAAGAAAGCACTGAGATTATGGCTGCAGGCGCCCTCAAAAAGATGGGGTGGCGTCTCTGGAACATCCAGAGACAGGAAGATAATGCGAAAGCGTTATTCAACCGGAACTTTGAAAAGCATGTCAGAGCTATGGTTCGCTTTTGGGCGGAGCGTGCTACAGAGCGATTTGCCGAACGGTCTGCAAGCCCCACGCCTAACAAACCGAGAGCGCGGAGAGTTGATGATAGAGACCGTGATGATGGCAGGGGAGGTGACGATGGCGCAGTCAGCGCTGAGGGCAATAGAAACCATGGGAAACAGGGGGGCTTGGAGCCGTCTGGTGACGAAACCCAGTATCTGGAGGCTTGGACAGCTTTTGACCAGGATGCTTTGGATCTGAACAAAGAGCTTGATCTCTCTCTTTCTCTCACACCGGAACAGCCTCCACGACACCCCATTCTCACACCGAATCCGTACACCCAGGCACCTACACCATCTTCAACGCGCCCGCTGAATTCCATACTCCGCCGCCCAAACACATACCCACAACCGCAGCCAGCTCTGCGCCCTCCCCCCACGACCATCATTGAGGATGACGAGTCCGATCTCGATTTCGGAGACGGCCCCCAATCAACTTTCTGGACAGGAACCCCCATGCCACCAACAGCAAGCAAGCCTGGATACCTGAAGACACCATCAAAACGCAGTCTAGCCCGCGCCAAGCATCCTGAACTTCCCGCTAGTCCTGAGAAGCAGCCTGCTTTCAGTCCTGTACGGCGACCTTTGGCTTCAATACTAGAGCGAGAACGAACATCACGATTAGGCACTATGAGTGCTCCACCTGTGCAGAGTTCAAGACCCACTAGTTTTGGTGGCATAGGCGGCGTGACGAGTTTTGAGAGGAGGCTGAGAGAAGGTGGATTTGGAGGGAGCGTTGCTGCTGGCAGTAGTAGTGCAGCGAGAGGGGGGAGGGTAAAAGGTGGTGCGAGGCCTAGAGTGGGATTTGGAGATGTTAGTCAGATGGGTTGATTGATTCTCTTGGGCTTTTGGATATTGAGCGGAACATTTAGTGTTGATGGAAGAAGATAGTGGAGTTTGCATTGCGTGAGGCGTCTGCGTAGTATTATAGCGCCTATTTGTGTTTGTGTATGTCAGGATACCCCATGACTTTTTATTTTTCACTCTTCAGAAAAGTTGTTGTGACTATATAGTAGAGTGACGATGAATATACATGATATGATTTACATCTAAAAGCACTTCGGACTGATGTTGTAGCGAGACTTGTGGATCTACGTGAAGCTAACCTTGTCCCCGATGCTCGTTTTTTTTTGCCACGATCCGATCTTCGGTGTCGTGTGATGATGGTAGAGCACATAGTAGGGTTAGTGCGGAGACCCCGCAATCTACTTTTCTCTCCATGTTACAATAGTATTCCACTGTTGGAACCTGCATCGGCGCTCTCTCCGAGTATAACGCCGTTTTCTCTTATTCCCACATGCTGTGCATACCTTACCCTATGTATCCGTTGATGCTCACCCAAAATTTCATGCATGATGTTGTTTCGTTAAATCTGATGAAAACAACAAAGTCAGGAATATGTCTTCATACCGTTCAACTCCAAATCTAAGCCTCGGCGCCACCGCCGATAAACAGCCTGATTTCCACACTAGGAACCTGTTATTTCGCCCGTCCACGCGCCCCCCTTCTAGTCGCTTTTTTCCGTGAGCGGGGGCTAAGTGCACTTTGCCTTTTTCCATCTGCACAAAAAGAAAACGTCCCGAGGCCCCGCTTTTTGCCCTTGAAGCAAGGCAATCGAGTAGTAGCGCCGGGTATAACGATCCGCATATTTTGTTATGTCTATTTGCTTTTAGTATATAGTGTGCTTTGATGGCGAGATCGTTGCCGGTGCACGTGGTTTTCTTTATTTGTTCAAGATGCATGCTGCGTTGCGGATGCTAGTGTTGGGCTTTGCTCCGGTATTCTTATTCGATATTGGGTTTGCGGCTCCGTCTTCTGGGTTTCATGAACAATGCCGGAGTTTCGATCCTACATATTATGTTAAGAACTCGACGCTGAATGTTCGCGAGTTCTTTACTGCGGGGTCGAATTTGACGTTTCCCGATAACGTGGCGAGTTGCGGTCGAGCGAGCCAGGTTGTGGCTGTGGATCTATGTCGTGTTGCGCTTGAGATACGGACATCGAGTACTTCGCGGATTACGTTTGAGGCGTGGTTTCCAGAGAAGTGGTCTGGAAGGTTTTTGGCTACGGGTAATGGAGGGTTGGATGGATGTGAGTGCGAATTACTTCGAAGATAAGATTGGTCAGTGTTAATGGGAGCATAAGGTATCAAGTACGAAGACATTGCCTATGGCACTCAGAATGGCTTCGCTACTGTTGGGGCAAATAATGGACATAACGGTACTTCAGGACGAGACTTCTTCAATAATCATGAGACGGTTGTGGATTTTGCATGGCGATCGTAAGTAATCACATTCGGTTACATTTAGAAGACTCGTATTGATCATGTTCTTTCCTCACAGTCTCCATACAAGTGTAGAGACTGGCAAAATGCTAGCTCAACACTTCTACCAAAAGAAACATAGCACATCCTACTACATAGGCTGTTCTCTCGGCGGACGCCAGGGTATAAAAGCCGCAGAGCAGTTCCCAAGAGACTTCGACGGTATTCTCGTTGGCGCGCCCGGCGTCGATTTCAACAATCTGTATTCATGGCGTGCACTTTTCTACACTATCACTGGTCCAAAAACAAGTCCTGATTTTATTCCACTCCAAGCATGGAAAACGTGGATCCATGATGAGATACTACGGCAATGTGATGGCATTGATGGAGCAAAGGATGGGATAATCGAAGACCCTTCGCTATGTCGATTCAATCCATGGACCTTGAAGTGCAACAGCGCCAACGCCATAACCGAAGCAAAATGTCTCAACGAAAACCAAGTACAGCAACTCGTCCGCATATTCAGTCCCTACACGTATCCCTCTGGCGAACTCATCTTTCCAGGCATGCAACCCGGCAGCGAGCTGCAAGCACCTGACAGACTCTACACTGGCACACCTTTCACCTACTCAGAGGACTGGTTCAAATATGTGGTATACAGCGACCCAAGCTGGAACGCATCGACCTTTACTGTCGCCGATGCACGCGCAGCAGAAGCCCTCAACCCAGCCAACATCCGCACCTACCCATCTTCACTGCCGGCCTTTGAATCTCGCGGCGGCAAATTACTCATGTATCACGGCCAACAAGACAGCCAGCTCACCAGCTTCAACACGAATCGCTTCTACGAACATCTACGCGACAGCAATGGTAAAGGAGGCAAAAGAAGCTACGTCAGTATGAACAAGTGGGTGCGCTTCTTCAGGATCTCAGGCATGTTTCACTGCTCTGGTGGACCAGGGGCATGGGTGCTGGGCCAGGGGGGAAGGGCTTCGCAAGCCGGTATCCCGTTTGACGCCCAGCATAATCTTCTTGCTGCTCTAGTGGCGTGGGTGGAGACGGGTGCTGCGCCCGAGCGTGTGGAGGGGACTAAGTTTGTGAATGATACGGTAGCTGCGGGCGTGGAATTTAGGAGGAGGCACTGCATGTATCCATTGAGAAATGTGTTTGTTGGGGGTGATTATAGGGAGGCTGGGAGTTGGATGTGTAAATAAGAAATGGTGGGTTTGGTGGTTGCTAGTACTGGACAATAAACCACGTGGCATTGGGTTTTGACTCCTGTAGCCAACCAGCCACCACTGTACCTCTTGAGAGAAAATTAGTATTATCCATATACTCTCGACTAGGACGTTACATTGTGGCTTAATATTTGAGGCAAGGGGGTAGCGGTTCGGCTCGCGATGTTTGCTAGCAGAACCTGGTTAATGGAAACATCCGACGGGACCCTTCGCTTAGATTCCTGTTGCTAAGCCGATACACTTTCCTAAAGTTATTTTGTCTACTTTATCGAGGGTATTACGCACCCGATGCGCGACCATTGTGCAGATCTCGAGTTAGCTGCTTAGAGAGATGAACCTGAAACAACCGCGCACAGTTCACCGCGTTTCTCGTCTAGCCACCCCGTTATGAAACGGCTATCGATTCAGCTTTGATCAAAACATTTTCCTCCTTACAAGAACCATTAGTTTTGAGCTTAGAAGGGTTTGTTCACTTAGTTAACTGTTGACACTGTTCACAGCATGCAGGGTCCTACAATGGCGCTGCTTGACATGGTTTCGTGTGTTGCCGTTGCCCATTGTTACATTCGAAATGGCCAAGATCTTATCAAATCATGGAAGTGAAGTTAGATCGGCGAAAGATGTTCTTTGGGTCAAGTATGGGTCTAAGTGTGATGCCTCTTTTGAGAGTCTACTTTTGACACCTGAAAGGTGGCAGCAATCACTGAGGCATAAAGACACTTTTTATACACTGTGTAGGGTATACGCACGAAGCCTGCATTGTCTTCCGGGTTTTTGTATCTTCTTACAGTCTATCTCCCTTGGTACATTGTTGCCATTGCCACGATTGTGTCTTTGTTCGGGTGTCCTTCACTTTCCTCGTGATTATGGACATGTCTTGACACCCCGAACCGCATGCTAAAATTTGACATTTGGTTATTCCTTAGAAGAATTTGGTTATTCAATATACAAAATGCCTCCTCCATACAATAATTCGTGGTCTTACTTCAAAATAGATGCCTTTGCATACATCAACGCTAACCGAAACTGGACAGTGGGTAAGTAAATGATCATTGTGCGTCAAGCCTGCTTTTGCTAAACATCTGTGTGAAGAGGAGCGAAACCATACAGTTTCTACAATCTGGGCTGGAAATGTGAACGTCCAGAATCACTATAATGCATTAACGTGGGTTGGAGAAGTAAGGGCGGCAGCCACTCCTGGCCTACCTAACCCAAATCCTATACCAGCGATACCATACACAGCTGTGTCACTTGCATATGCGAAAGCTAGAGGGAAACTACCTTCTTCAACGCCATCACCATTATCATCATCATCGTCATTATCACCCTCTGGACCTGGACCTGCAACTCAGCACACTAATTCACAACTGGACGACTTTTGGCCAAAGCGGCCATGGTCTCCTGAACCCAAGCTACCGCTCTATGACTTAGATATGGTCAAGGCAAATAGTGCTTCAAGAGAGGCTTGGCTCAGCACTGAACCACATATGCCCCCACCAAATGATGGGTCTCAGTGGCGCGGTGTCCAAGTGCTGGGGGTTGGGGGTTACGGCGCTGCAGGGCTATAGGTCCAGACCGATGCCGCAGGTAACATTCGAGACGTAGTTCTGAGGCGTTGACATTATAAGGGTCTGTATCAGCTGACATGTTGCAGAAAATGGTGATCAAGGAAGCCAAGCCTTTCACAGCTAGCCAATGGCGCGACCCAAAAAACTGGCATGACAGATTGCCACGCGAGATTAGGATACACCAGCTGGTTGAGGAACGGCGCAGCGTAGAGCCTGATTCGTGTCGTCACCTCGTCCGTTCCCGTGGTCATCGGCTCTGGATGCGGTCGAGACGGTATAGGTTATACCTGGATTTTTATCCTGGAGGTGACCTGAGGAGGGCAATGAAAAACTATGCTGAGAACTGGACTAAAGAAGAAGAAGATTCTGAGTTCAATGGGGAGGAAGATCTTTTAGAGGGTTTTATATGGTACACAATAAAATCACTAGCGACGGCCTGCCTATTGCTACATAGGGGGACACTGTCAGATAACGAATTGTTCGGATGGAAGCCAATCACGCATCTCGATTTGCAGCTACCTAATGTTCTTCTCGATATTTCTAATCCAAAGGAGGGAAATTATACGGGCAGTGAGCCCTCGTACGTGCCTATTCTTGCTGATTTTGGCATCTCCTTTCTCAGTCCTGGGGGTCATGGCTCCACTCTCTCTGACCCTCCAGAAGACTTTACTCCCAACTTCGACACTCGATATCCTCCTGTGAGTTTCTGTTTTAACTCGTTGGATCTACCCACTGACTGCATCAGGAAATGAACCAACAACCCTCAGATAACATCAAACTTGGAGAAAAGACGGATGTTTGGGGCCTTGGAAACATTGCCTACAAACTAATCATGAATGGCCTAGTCGATCAGGGTCCAGTCCGTTGCGACGCACACACTCAAGATGAGGAATTTGAGGAATATGACGGAAAGATCCCGCTAGCAGCACAGCATTGGCGCAACCTTTTCCAGAACGATGACATAAATGTCCTCAGTTATGATTGTCCAGAATGTAGGCCTACTGGATCTTATACTGATGATCTCAAGCAGCTCGTGAGGAAGTGTTTGAACTATGAACAAGGCAAGAGGCCAACGCTCTTGGAAATCATTGCCGAGGCTGATCAGCACTTTGGTGAGTTCCCCGGAGACATGGATGAGCTCATGGACAAGGGTCGGTATAACTTGAAGGAGCCCAATTTCGAGGAGTTTCTGACCGGAGAGGCTATGGACATAGGTACATAGATGAGGTAACGACTGATTGAAGGGGCCTATGTTTCTTGTTTCCGTTCCATCGTTAGATGTTTTAGCGTTGGCCTCCCATGCATGTGATAGGTCCAGCACACGACTAATACACCAATGAGCTTTTCCATACACCAAACAAACTCTAGTGCCTCGACGTGAACTGCTCCAACATTTTCTTTCATATGGACTTCACAAGTCCTCCCGGTAGAACTCTCAAAGACATCTAATTCTTTAATTCCTTAACCCATCTTTAATAATTTCCCTTCATGTACTCCTGGAGACAATGCATGAGAGACACAAAATGGACATACCTAATTTCTTTAAATACCTGCCTGGGAACATACCCAAGTCCACGACCTTCCTTACTCCGAAGGATGTTGAGAAAGAAGCTCGAGTGCGTGCGGCGAGGCTCTTCCAGCATCGTGGTTTGCTCGAAAAGATTGTTGAGCGCCACGAAGAGACGATACGCACACGCTGGGGAAAGAAAACGAGAAGTCAAAAGAGAACAGTCCTCCTGGAGGCATGGCCCGGAATGTCCTCGGAGCATCGACCAGATGTCGCGGCATGGCGAAAACACTCAACATCGGATACGAAGGAAGCATACATGTGGCCATACATCAACTTGGAAGATCTCACCAAGACAAAGACCTTGCTGGTTATGCTTCACTACCGTGGGAGGAACCAGCCACACGAATTTGTACGTTCCGATTTGGAGCAAGCTGCTCTTGGTGAGGCGAGCGGTGTCACCATGCCAGGCTTTCTGGACGAATACACGATGCTTTTCGCCGACCGAAAAACACCCAAGTCATATGGAAAGCTCATTTCCTGGGATGACGACGACCATGCCTTTGAGAGCATGACCAACGGGATTGGTATGCATCCTGGACATGGGTTGCAGGCTTTGGAAATCCAGGAACGCATTTGGTCCTTTCTTGTAAAGTGCTGTCAGATCTTGTTGCAAGACATTCCGTCTATGACCAGATCACCTGTTCTTCCAAACCCCGGTCCACCTACTACTCAGGATCTTGACGTCGCGTCTCTTCAGATCAAATCCTTCGAGGCTCCCTACCGAACCCCTGCACACCTTGACTTTGCGCGCCTAAAGACCTTGGCTTCTGAGGAGCGCAACTGGAGGGAAGACCATTTGTGGTCACTGCGAGAGGACCCAAGCTATTTCGCTAAGATGATGCATGAGCAAGCTGAGCATCGACCTGAGATGCTGCTAGATACCTTGCGGAACGAGCATCCTTTGTTGAAAGAACCGGGGCGCCCACTCTTCTGGAACCGCGTAATCGGCAACGTAGTGATTCAAGCTTATTTTGGGCTCGCGACCTTTGATGAAGTATTGAAGCAGATCAACAACGTCGCTAGCATCTACGAGAAGCGTAAAGTAACACTGAAACCGGATGAAGACCTACCTGCCGACCTGCTCAGCGCATTCCAACATCTCCGTTTTTTGCTGGGTGCTGCAAGAACTGACATTGTTAACTGCATCAAGATTGAATTGTTCGCATCTCCACCGCTTCGTCCTTTCTGTAGGCGCGAGCCTCATGATCCGAGATCAGATGTCATCCGGTCTGCGTATTGTCCACCGCGTCAGGAGCATGCGGTCCATCGACTCATGCCCCTATTCGATATCCTCTTCGACGATCAGCAACTATTTGTATTTGGCGTACACACCGTGACGGATGAGATTGAACGCTTGACCGCAAAGGATCCTGCAGTCGCTGCTTTGCTTACGCCGCGAATCGCAAGCCGTCTCTCGTCGCTTTCAGTCGTATCAGAATGTCTTCAGCGAATCCACTTTTTCCAGCCATGGGCGCGTAAAATCGAAGACGGCATGGATCTCAAGGCCCGTGAACTCCAAAAGCAGTACAACAGGACTTTTAAAGGATGGCTCCCAATCCTAAACGCTAGATTGGAAGGCTCGCAGATCCATCAGTATGCTGATCCAACTGACGGGAAATTCAACTATCCTACGGACCATCGCCAGAACAAGCAGAACGTCGAGACAATGCGCAAATCCGAAGCTAACCTGGATATCCTGTGGAGAGCTGTAGACCGGCACTACAAGTCTAAATCAGCTAACTCACAGCATGACATGGTAGCACATATGCTTCGTAGTAATCGAAAGATCCAGCGTACGCCTGTTTGGGTCGAACCCGGCAAGAAAAAGAGAAGGAAGAAGAAGAAGGTGACAATTGTTAAGCAGCCAGTGGTACACTTATACAGGCCATCTTCTAGCGTCTACCGGGGATTTTCGAAGCCAGTCACTGGTGATTTTGTTGATGTTGCACTCGACGAACCTAGTGTCGAGTCCAAAACTGACGGAGACGTCGCTCCAGGGTCCAAGGCCGAAACACCGACATCCGCCCTTCATGAAGCTACTGAGCACCCTGAGACCTTCGCAGTGGACAAGCGCTCTCACGGGGCCTTCAGCACCATTTCCCACTCATCATCCGATCCTAATCAGCCTGCAGAGGTTCCTTGGACCGATTTCATGCATGCGATGGTAACCATGGGCTTCTCAGCTGAAAAACCACATAGATCGATGTGGAGTCTCGCACCACGAAAGATTAGCCTGAGTGCAGAGAAGAGTATACAGTTTCGCGAACCGCATGTTAGTAGCGACATTCCAGTTCTCTGGGCAAAGCGTATTCAGCAGCGATTGGCGAGGGCGTATGGATGGGTCGGTGGGGTGTTCAAAGCAGCCTAAGGTGTGGATTGATGGCGTAAGCAGGTCTTACATACGAGAGTCTGGCGTTGGTTCAACGATGGTGTGTCAACAACTGTTTTCTATTGTATACTATACTGTGTATGTATCATGTCGAGATTCCGAATTCATGAGCAGTAATTGTGTCCTGGCTTGTTATATCGAGATGCCCCTATGTCTGCCGAGAAACTGCAAGTATATGTGTTGTGGCAGGTCTAGCGGCGTGTCCTTTGCGCAATGACGATTTCGCAGGGCAGTGCTTGCCAGCGAGGTGGCAATCGGCGGCGCGATGGCCATCTAGAACCCGATGCGCCAGGCTCCCTATGGATCTTCGCGTAAGGGCTGACGCGCACCAATAAATCACGGTAAAGGGCCGAATGTGACGATGAATAAAGTGTATGCGTTATGTTGCCGATGGAATATTAATGCGCCGTGACCAAGGCAGCCACAGTGTTCAAGACAGCAACGTAGGCAAGATCGGGCACGGGGCACGTGATAGCGCGCTTGGCATCGAGGCGGAGCGCTCGGCCGGCGGAGCGAGCGAAACGCGGACCAGATCCTCTCTCTCTTCACGTCAACGTCTCCTTCTTCACGCCAACCTTTCCTTTGACATCCATCGGTCGTCCATAGCCAACATCAATGTCTCACTATCGATGGCCGCCTCGGGGAAAGATGTAGGGCTCATCACCTACCCAGCCATTGTCAACATCGCCACCCTCGTCGTATTCTTCGTCTACCTCGTTATATCCATCTGGCTCATCTTTCGACAGGGCCTTGGCCGCAGCTCACCATGGATCTGGCTCACCATTCTAGCCATCTGTCGTCTCACCCAGGTCTCGCTCGATTTGGCTGCTACCACCATGTACCCGATAGGACAATCGTCAAACACCAGCTTGGAAAGCGGCGTCGCAATCCTGACTACCATGGGCTTGACGCCCCTGTTCATGTCTACCAGCAGCCTACTCAACACGACCACCAGGCCTAAAGGACGTCGCATGCAATGGATCCTGCTAGTATTGCATATTCCTCTCATCATTTCCTTCATTCTTATTGTCGCTGGTGGCATCGATCCAGACTCACGAGACGGACCCACTTTTGCAGCCACCGAAAGTACCAAGGCTGGCATCACACTTTACTTGGCATGCTTCGTTGTCCTCGTCTGGTCAACCATTGTCATCTCTGCCCGCCTTTATCTTGCGGACAGAGATGAAGTGCGCATTCTTACGACTGTTGTGCTCAGTCTGCCTTTTTTTGTCGTCGACATCGTCTACATGATGTGTTTCGCCTTCGAGCGCTGGGAAGTCGACGACTTTGACGGCTGGCAGCACATGCGTTTCAATGTTATTAGTGGAAGCGTCACCCTTCAACTGTGCATGTACGTACAACTTCTGCCATACGACTGTCTCCTTTCCTCCCTTCAATTGATCATGTGACGTCACAGAGGGCTAACACATAGCTAGGCAAGTAATCATGGAATGGATTATTGTTGCTCTATATCTGGCCTTGGGTTTGGAGCTTCCCAGTAAAGCTGCAAGATTGCGACGTCAGATTGAAGACCAAATGGATCAAGCTAGGAATCTCGACGTTGATGTCCTTCAAGAGACCGTGTTATGGAAGGCTCACGATGCCATATCCCGCATGATTGCCGCCATGATCATGCCCGCCCTTCAACTTGCACACTGGATCCTTGGAAAGATACTGCGATCTGGACAGAATCAAACCTGAAACTTGCAAACTGCAACCATCAAGTTACCAACGTCTCCAGACGTCTCTTGATATTCGATGTATTTGACACACGGTGCCTTGCCTTACGACTGGCGCACAGGCCCCCTTGCAGCATAATCGATAATGTTGTGTCGGCCTGTTCGACCAATAAAACCCTAACAGGAATTTTGTCATCTTTGGATTAACTCGTGTGGCCAACGATGAGAAAACGCAAAAGCACCCAGCAGTAGATGCGTGTTTGCCTCGTCATCATCACGCGGAGACTTGCACTTCGGAATGAGGCGGATGACGCACTCAGTGGCACAGCACAGCGATGAGCCATTTAATCAGCACCAGACCCTGCCGCCCCGCTTAGATCCTAGCAGCCCAATTGAAACAGAAATAGATCTCACCATGTTTTGCACGCCTGTTACTGCGATATTTACCACTCTTGAACCGCATTGGTTGTGGCTGAACTCTGATGAGGTTGCGACGAGCGACCCGAACAGGGGCATGGAATGAACAAGAAGAAAAAGAGGATGCTAGGCAGAGATAGTACAAGGGAGGAAGGCGCGCATGAAAA